GGGAGCCCGATGCAGGACTCAATTCCGGGACTCCAGGATCACGACCTGAGCCGAAGGCAGTCGTTTAACCAACTGAGCCACCCAGGCGCCCTGCAGACAACATTTCTTAAGCATAGATGCTAGAAGGATGCTGCGTAACTTGGAGAATTGCCAGGGAAGGACCAGGCTCAGCTCGGGCTCCGACCAGGAAGGAGGGGCAGCCAGGGCACAGCCAAGGGCAGGCTGGTCCAGGCACCGTGGCACTGGCTCATGCTGGTCCCAGCAGGGGGACCTCTGGTCTGATCTTGTATCTGGACCTACTGCTTAGGTGTGTGTCCAGTCCCACTTGTGGGGGCAGGTCAAACATTTACCTGGCTTTTTCAGCTTCTGATTGAGAGGGAGGCCCTGTCTCCCACCAAGACTCACACAACGGGGACATCCTCAAATATGGGGGGGACAGTTCAGGTGCTCAAGGTTTTCCCCTCAGTGACGATGCCCCTTGCGCAAAGCCAGAGGGTTGTAAGGAGGATTAAATGAGATAATGCCTGACCCAGTGATTCTCACATATTTCCTCTAAAGGCAGAAAGGATAGAAGGCATCCCTGTCAGGAGGTCCAGCCCAGAGCCTCAGGCTGCATGCTTGTGTTATATTCATTCAACAAGCACTTGCCGTGGGCCGGGGAACACATCACTGAAGAGAAGAGACAAAATCCCTACTTGGTGGATCTATATTCTAGTGTTTATCTTTAAAGCCTCATGTCTTACTTGAAAGTGAGTGCAGACTTTTGCATCCTGTTTCCTAATGGGACCATAATAACGCACCCGTAACATCCAGGGCTTGTTTCAATACAGAAGTAAGGGCTTCCTACCAGTGGGCTGGTGGCCGCCCTGCTATTTGCTTGAAGATACAGAGAACCGTGTCTTTATGTGTCCATGTTTGGGCAAGTTCTGGATGACACCAAGAACAAAACTTAACCAAGTCTGGGGTGGGGGAGGGAAGGGAAGCTGGGGAGCCCAGGCCCCTGTGGGAGTGGGGCAGAGGGTGAGAGAGATGCCGGAGGGATCTGGGGCCTCGCCAACCTCTGCCAGGGTCCAGGAACCATCTGAAAGCCCCTCCGACCGCCTGAGGCACCAGAAAGAACCACATTTTCTTGTGTGGGGGTTCACGTAAAGAACAGTCCCAGTTCTTTGGCAACGAGAGTGCTCTTGTGGGCCAGTGGTTCGGGGCGGACGGGCAGCTGGTCCCTGGATCAGCGTGGACTTGGACCACTGCGGTCATCAAGCGGCCTTGGGGGATGGTGAGCTGTGGGCAGCACTGGGCAGCCGGGAGCCCGAGGGGCGGGCAGGCTACAGCCAGGATAAGGGGAGTGACCTTCTTTGGCAGCTGTGCTAAGAGGGTGGCGGTGGCCCTAAGGTTTGTCAGGGCCAGATGTAGGGTGGGAAGGAGGCCCAGAGGGACCCGCCCACCCCATGAGCAGCCTGGTTGCCCAAAGGGGTGGTTTTGGAGGGCTTTGTGGCCTAAGGAAACTCACTGTCTTTCCCAGGCAAACCACTGGAGGGATTTATGAAAAACAGATGGTGGTTGGCGTGGAGTGAGGGGATTGGGGTTGAACTGAGCTTTTCCTCCCCTCCCACCCCGGATCAGTAGCAGACCCGGGAAAGACCACCTGGGGTAAACTCTCCCCAGCCCAGCCTGGCTCCAGGAGAGACCCTCAGATTAGAGCTCCCATGTTTGGTCAGCTAAAACAGGGTCCCCACAGACTTGCTGTGGTGGGGCAGTTGTGGACAAAACAGCGACAAGAGGTAACACGTACGGTGCTCACTGCATGCCAGGCACTGCTCGGAATTCACTGTTCCTCCTCACCGTCCTCTGGACGGTGTAAGCATTGTCCCCATTTTCACAGGCACAGAGAGATTAAGCAACTGGCCCAAGATCACAGAGCTAGTAAGTGGGCAGAGTTGGGATTTGAACCCAAGCAGTTGGGTTCAGGATCTTAAACCTTGCCTGGCATTGGCCTTGCACTTTGTACTCAAGAGGGGGAGGGTGGCCAATATTTTTTTCAGTACCGACTGACTAGGTGATTTATTATCCCATTCATTTTGTCTTCAGGGATATCACTACTGTCATCCCCATTTTATAGATGATGAAACTGAGGCTCCCCGACAAATTAATGGATCTGAATACAAGTCTGTCTCACTGCAAATCTCAGCACATAATAGCACCTCAATAAACGCTGAGCCCCTCCCCTCTTCTCTGAGTCCAGAGTCTGTCCTGGACTCATGTCTGTCCCAGTCTCGCTGCAGTGCCCCACCCAGGGGTCCTGCCCAGCGTCCCCATCTCAGCCAGACCACTTCCTGTTGGTGAGCCAGCCAGAAAAAGCCAGAATGAACGCAGACCCTAGACAGGGGCTGATTGGAGCCTCTGCCGCCCCCGCTCAGCCCACCCGCCTCCTTACAGGGACCTTCGGACAGGAGCCAGGCGCGGACAAGGGCCGCATGGATCAGCAGCCGGCGGCTGGCCCCCGGGGCGGGCAGCCAGGTGCCTACGGCCGCAGGAGAGAAGGGCCCCTCTTCTCGCCACTCAAAGGTGGATTGAGGAAGGCTGGCTCCGTGATTTTTCCAAGAAGCTTGTCCAGAGCCAGAGAATGGGAACATCTGTGCCCTGAGCTCTGTTCTGGATGCGGCTCAGGCCACAGTCTGGGGCTGACGTCTGCTGGAGACAGCCCTGCGTGGAGGAGGTTCTGGCTTGCTGGCCGGTGTGGGGGTGCAGGGGGGTGCCGGTCTGGCTGGCCAGCTGATGAGGGCAGCCGCTGGCCTCCACCCCAGGAGACAGGGAGCCCAGGCCAGGCAGGCGAGCAAGGATGGGGCGGGAGGCTTGGGCGTCAGGGGCCTTCTCCATTGACTGTGCAAAAGCTCTGGGGAGACAGTGGCATTCGAGCAGGTGGACCTGGGGCCACGGCTCCTCTTCCCCAGGCCTCGAGACCCAAGGCCCCTTCCTTTCCTTTTTGCCTTTCGAGATAGGCATTTGTGTGCACCTCTTAGCTCTTCCATCCGCCTAACTTCTCGCCAGCTGAGTCTCCCTCTAACTCCTGGTTTCCCATTTGGTATATTTTCAAAATTTAAATTATATTTTCTTGAAAATGTAATATATCAAAGTCAAGATGCTATAAAAAGCTATACAGATCTTCCCCGACTCCCAGTGGAGTTACATCCTGATAAACCCATTGTAAATTGAAAATATCATATAATGAAAATGCATTTAATACACCTAACCCACTGAACACCATAAGCTTAGCGTCGCCTACCTTACGCATGCTCAGAACGCTTACATTATTAGCCTACAGTTAGGCCAAGTCGTTTAACACAAAGCCTATTTTATAATAAAGTGTTGACTATCTCATGCAATTTATCGAGCACTGTCCTGAGAGTGAAAACCAGCATGCTGTGTGGGCACAGAAGGGCTCTCAGTGCATCAGCTGCTCACCCTAGTGGTTTGCGTGGCTGGCTGGGAGCTGTGACTTCACTGCTCCTGTCTGGCATCGGGAGACAGGATCGTACCCGTGCTTTAAGAACATCACTTCTCCGGGCATCTGTGGGGCTCAGTCGTTTAAGTGTCCGACTCTTGATTTCTGCTCGGGTCACAATCTCAGGGTCGTGAGAGCGAGCCCCACCTTGGGCTCCGCACTCAGCAGGGAGTCAGCTTGAGATTTTCCCTCTCCCTCTGCCCCTCCCCTACTCTCTCTCGCTCGCTCGCTCTGAAATAAATAAATAAATCTTAAAAAAAAAAAAGAATATCACTTTTACTTGTGGCTGCATCCCCCTCCTCCTCCCCTTCCTCCCCTTCCTCCCCTTCATCCCCAACAACAGGTGACTATTCCATTAGATCCACGTGTATCTTTCTGGTGCTTCTTTATGCAAATCAATCAGATGCAGATCTACTTCTTTCCTCCCCCTCTAATTATATTAAAAATGTAATACTCTACATCATTCTGTATCTCCCTGTTTTTACTTGATATATCCTGGAGATCTTGCTTTATCATTACTTTTGACAGTAGCCTCCTTTTTTCCAGCTGTATAGTATTCCATCTCGTGGCTATTCTATAGTTTATTAACCAGCCTCCTAAAGAGGAGCACAGGGGTTGTTTCCAGTCTTTCCAACCTGATTTTCAAATGAGATCTTGGGTGAGAGTTTGATTCATGCCAGGCTGCTCTGGTTAGAGAAGGGGTGAGTGAGGCTGATGCCCTACAGGCAACCTCCACTACCCCTGCCAGGCCTTAGGAGATCTTCACCAGGACCTCAGCACTCGAGGGAACAGCCTAAGAACCACGGCTTCAGAATCCCAATCTGCTTATTTTATTTTATTTTATTTTTTTTTTTAAAGATTTTATTTATTTATTTGAGAGAGAGAGAATGAGATAGAGCATGAGAGGGGGGAGGGTCAGAGGGAGAAGCAGACTCCCTGCCGAGCAGGGAGCCCGATGCGGGACTCGATCCCGGGACTCCAGGATCACGACCTGAGCCGAAGGCAGTCACTTAACCAACTGAGCCACCCAGGCGCCCTGCTTATTTTATTTTTTAAAAGGATTTTTATTTATTCATTTGAGAGAGAGAGAGATTGAGATCATGAGCAGGGGGGAAGTGTAGAGGGAGAAGCAGGCTCCCCCAATGCAGGGCTCAATCCCAGGACGCTGGGATCATGACCTGAGCTGAAGGCAGGCACTTAACCAACTGAGCCACCCAGGTGCCCCCAATCTGCTTATTTTATAAATGAGAAACAGGCTCAGCACCAGGACAAGGCTGATCCATGGTCACAAGTTACCCTGTGGCAGATCTGGAAATAGAAACCAGGTCTCTGGGGTTCTGCCCTCCACACTAGTCCTGTTTCATCCCCAGGGGTAACGGACCAGGGCTCTGGGGCCACGTGACTGGAGTCAACGGCAGATGTTCCCGTGGACCCAGCCATGGACCCCAGGCCTGCCTCTCTCTTACCCTCGGTTTCCATTGTCTCTCCCACTGCTTAGGGACAGCGCCTCACACCCCCAGCAGAAGGGGCTCTGGACGCACTAAAGGAAAGGTGAGCTACCCAAACAGGACGAGGGAATCGGGGCTACGGAGCCAGACCCTTAAGTGGAAAGTCAGGAGCGAGCAGGAGCGAGGAAGTCTGGGAGGCCTCCGACTTCCGAGGCACATGTAAGCAATTTGTGTCTTTGAAAAGAATCACCGGAGAGTTTGGCTACCGGTAAGTGACTGAGAAAACATATTTCATGAAAGAGAACTGTATTTGTTGCCAAGCCAAGGTTGAGGGCAGGGAGGGTCTGTCGAACCAGAAAGGATTTAACCAATAGACAGGAGCTTAGCAGGCCAAGAGGAAAACAAGCAGAGGGTGGATGGACACGGAGGGAGGCCAGGTCACACCTGCAAGGCTGCATCTCCAAGATGGGCACAGACTAGGGACACGGGCAAGAGGCAGGGCTTAGAGGGCACCGGGGGTCTCTGGCACCACCTCCCCCCATCCTGGAGACGAGGAAACGGGCTCAGCACAGGTTTGTGGCAGACCTGGGGAGGATGTGGCCTAGTTCCAGCCCTGAGGATGCTGCCGCCGCCCTTGTCATAAGCGGGGTGTGGCAGTGCAAATGGAACCAGCCTGGGCGCCAGGAAATACGGGTCCTCTCTGACTCTGCCACACACTGGGTGACTCTAGGCAAGCCACGCCACCTCCCTGGGGGCCAGTGGTAGCTTCTCTATGACCAGATGGTAGGGCTGAACGGGGGCGGGGGGGGGGTGGCTTTTAAACTTCCTTTTGAGCTCCAAAGTGAGGGGACTGGACCTCGCCTTGGAGTTGTGACAAGTGGCCCTTACTCCCCATCAGCTGGGGAGGGACGGAGAGCCACCATCACGAAGCATGAGCACTTGGACAGGGAGCACCTCCCCTGAGCCCATTCCTCCGCAGTGCTCTTGCTGAACCCGGGGATGGCCTGAGATGGAATTCCTCATCGTCCTGGGAAGCCAGACTCAGGGTTGCGTTCAATGTGATTTAGGAAAACAGAAGAATGTGAGATTGCTTGCACCCAGGCTCGTGGAATGAAATGTGTCCTAAAAAGCCAGTATGATCTTGCTTAAGATTTGCCCACCATGGGGCTTATGGGTGGCTTAGTCGGTTAAGCCTTTGGCCCAGGTCATGATCCCAGAGTCCTGGGATCAAGCCCCGCATTTGGCTCCCTGCTCAGCGGGGAGTCTGCTTCTCCCTCTCCCTCTCTCTCTGTCTCATGCTCTCTATCTCTCAAATAAATAATTAAAATCTTTAGAAACAATTAAAAAAAAAAAGATTTGCCCACCATGGGGGCATCTCCCGTAAGCCCTCTCCATCCACCCAGCCTGCCCTCTGTGTGAAGAATGCATGCCTCCTCCCAGTAGAAAGATAAGTGGCAGCAGGTGGGTCCGTCCCTGGCCCCTCACCCACGGTTCCGCTTGCGTCTCGTGACGGAAAGGACACAGTGCTCTGAGGCTTTGTGGCTGGGAGTTAGAGAGGAAGAGGCTTGCAGCTCTTTCCTGGCTACCAGTCACTGTATAGGGCCTTTGGTCTCACTGAACATGCGCACACGCACACACACACACACACACACTGCATGCACGCAAGCACACCTTTATTTATCACTTTTTTAGAGAGGGAGAGGTGGGGAGGGCGAGAGGGAGGGCGAGAATCTCAAGCTGACTCCCCGCTGAGCGCAGAGCCCCATGCGGGGCCTCGATCTCCCAACCCTGAGATCACGGAAATGTGGGTGAGGATAGAAATGCCGAACATCTGCTTGGCAGCTCCTGAGCTTGAGGCAAATTTGGGGCAATCAGGATCCGTTGATTTTTGAATCAATGGCTCAGACGCTCAGCGAATGGCACAGCTGTTCCAGAATTATGCTCCCCACTCCTTGGCCTTGTCGAGAGACTTGTTTTATCCCAAACCTCACAGCTGGGTCCGCTGTGGCCTTAAAGCCATGAACGTGTTTTATCTCTTTACGCTCCGTGTATCCCCGGAGACACGGGGTGGTTCGGTCCTTATTGACCTCCAAGGCTCTGAAAACTGAAAAAGAGCTTTTAACACATTCATTTGGTAACAAAATGTGACCTGAACAGACGTGGGGCAATGAACTTGTATTTCACTTAGTGTGAATGTTCAAGAGTTCAGCTGAAGAAACACTAACGCGTTTGGTTACAAAGTGCTAGCAGAACCCGCCGGGGTGTTAACGTAATAGAGAGTACGTGCACCATACTCCCTGTGTGGAGCTGAAACAGTCTGATTTCTGAAACACATCTGACCTCAAGGGGTTTCGGAAAAGCGACTGTGGATTGTACTGCTGACCCCATTTTACAGATGAGAAAACAAAGTCTCTGGGAATTTAAGTGCCTTTTCAGAGAGCACACGGCTAGGAGGTGGGAACAGAGATAACGAGGTCACAGCTGTGGCCCTGAAGCCGGCGTTTCAGCAGGCCCGGTGCGCGCGAGCCCAGGACCAAAGCTGGAGGCTGTGGGGACCCAGGACGCGCTGCAGAGCCCATGGCCTTCAGCCCACGGCCTCCTTCCACAGTGAAGAGACACGGGTCTGGGCCTTTCCTCCCTACAGCCAACAGCAGAAGAGGCTGCCATCTGAGGTGATGCAGCCCCACGGGGAGGAGGACAGGCTAAAGGGTGAGCGGCCTATGCCTCCGAGTAAAAGCAAGGCAGTGGGGACAAGATGCGATGTGAAGTAGTAACTGTTTGAAAATTTCCCCCCAATTTTGCCTTAACGTATGACCTTTCCTCCTCTGGGAAGGGAGACAGGAAGCCAGCATTACCCCAAAGTGGAGTGTCACAGAGGAAGCACAGAATAGAAGACTATCATGCTTGATGTTAAGTTTCAAAGCTGTCATCCAGGGGCTCATCTGGAAAGGGCTAGGAGCGGTGCTTACCTGGGTGAGAGGATTTTCTGGCCCAGGAGGCTGATTAGTAGCTTCCAATCCAGGGAGAAGGAGGGGGTTGGACGTGAACAATGGGGTGGTGCCTAGATGCTGATGGAGGAGGCTTTTCAGGGCATCCCAGGGGAAGGGGGGTGCATGGAGGGACCATAGCCTCACACTCCCTACCTTTAAGCACAGGATCTAAAAGAGGAGGACACCTGTAGCTGGGCCTTCAGGAGGTGGTAGCCCCGAGGATGGAGCCAGGATGGGGCTGAGAGGGGGCAGCAGAGTGGAGATGGCTGGGTAGATTCTGGGGTCTGAGTGGCCCTGAGGCTGCCCAGCAGATAGATGTCTCATCATCCGGGAGGGATGGTGCAGGAATGGATGCATATCGTCCTTATGATGCAGGAATGTAACCAACTTTCCCAGTGCTCGGTGTGGGCCTGGAACGTAACTGAGAGAGGGAGAACCACGGGCCTGTTGGGTTTCCAAGTCATGACAGGGGACTCCATGGTATTGCTCAGTCCACTTGCCCATGAGAGTCTACCCGCCCCGGGGGGGGCAGCTAGACCTCACACAGGGGCCTCCTCCAAGGGGTGGGGGGACGGGAGTGCCTCCCCCAGCCCTGCTCCCTCCTCAGGAAATGCTGCCTGGTTCCAAAGGAGCTATTTGCTGAGAGGCGCCTGCAGGGCTTAAGGGCCAGCCCTCAGAGCCAGTAGCCAGCCTCCAGCCATTCAGGGCTTTGTCATTTTTGCTAATAATAAACCCTGGGGAAAAGCTGCGGCTGGAAAGAGAAACACAGAGCAAACCCTGAGAATCTGCCTGGGCTTCACAGAGTTCCTTCAGGCCCCAGTTGCTAGTGGGGGCCTAGAGCCGCCTGGCCTTCTAGTGGGCACTGTGAGGGAGGTGGAGGGGATCACCCTGTCTGTCCCCCAGTCTGTTCCCCACCAACCTCCTTGAACTCACCCTGTGACTCCCAGCTGAGGCTTAAAGACAACTCTGGATCCATTTAATAATGCCCCAGAGAGAGGGCTTGGGGAAGGAGAGGCAGGGGATTTCCAGCTGTGTGGCCCTGGGCAAGGCTTGCCCCCCTCTGGGCTTTAACTCTCCCAACCAAAAAGCAAGAGGTTCGCCTGAGCTTCCAGAGCAGCCCCTTGTCCATGCTTATCTATGAGTCAGTAAATGGTGCCCCCATCAAAGCACATCCTGGGTTTGGCTAAGCCCTGCCCAGCCCGGCTGCCGTGCCTGTTGGACCTGGAAGAAGTGAGCCTGGGACATAATGGTGGGGGCGGGGAAGGGAAGAAGTAGAAGGAGGGCAGAGAGGGGGAAGGTGAGGTGGGACACTCTGAGTTACAAGGAGGCTGTGGGGCACGGAGGAGACACTTACTAGCTGGATGATCCAGGGCAAGTTACTCAACAGAGCCTCAGTTTCACCATCTGTGCAATGGGCTTAATACCTACTCGGTGTCAATTACATTAATAAAAGCATGTAAAGGGGCGCCTGGGTGGCTCAGTTGTTAAGCGTCTGCCTTCAGCTCAGGTCATGATCCCAGGGTCCTGGAATTGAGCCCCGCATCGGGCTCCCTGCTCAGCAGGAAGCCTGCTTCTCCCTTTCCCACTTCCCCTGCTTGTGTTCCTGCTCTCGCTATGTCTGTCAAATAAATAAATAAAATCTTTAAAAATAAATAAATAAAAGCATGTAAAGGGCTTATCGGAGGGCCTGGCACATGGCATGCTCAGGACACGTCCCTCCCGCTCCCCCTCACTTCTCAAAGATGAATCCGAAGGCCTCAGCCCGGCTCTGGTCCCAAGCACGTGCAGGCTCGAACTGCTGCAGGTCAGGGGTGCAAACCTGCGTGTGCTGGAGGTGGCCCCAGATGGGTTTGGTTCTCCTCCACGGTGTTCTCCAGAAGAGATGATACAGAATTGGCATTATTTCTTCCTTAAGTGTTTGGGAGCTGCTCAGTGTTTCAATTCCACGTGCAAATCCCAATTTCTAGCTTCTTTTGCAGCATCCGGAGATCTGATAACACGGGGCCTGCGTTCCCTTAGGACGGCGGCTGGCTGGAGCCGAGCAGCTTCTCTGTGCTTTATGTTGCTTGTAATTCTTCATCTTGGCTTGTTTTTCTATTTTTTCCTTCTTTATAAGCATAACTTGACATAAAACAGGCATAGGATCGTATCACACATGCTCGGTTTCCCCTCCAGCGGGCTCGGCCTCCAGCCCACTCACAGGAGCGCCCACCCCCCTCCATCCAGGGAACACCCACGCCATCCACCTGCCACACAGCCTTCAACCTGTCCCACATGCTCTGGAGTCATATTTTGACATACGTGTCCGTACAGAGGCACATGTTTGTAGGGGATATCTGCAGATTTTTCCCCCTGTTTCATAAATATGAGGTTATGTTATGGAGGCGTTTCTGCATTTAGCTTTTCGACCGTCCCCCCACAGGTGCAGCCTGTCCCCCCAGGTTGGCCTCGGTTCCTCAGCGCCTTTACTAATTTCATACCCTCAGTGGCTCCTGTAGGCCTCTCCACTGACTCCCTATTCTCTAGATCAGTGGGCCTCACCTACGGGGGACCACGGGTTAGGATGAGGGGCCCTTGGATCCAGCTGACCGCCATATGCTAGAACAGGGGTCTGCGAACTTTTCTCTAAACTTTAAAAGCTACGATGAAGACTAGACTTTTATTTTGGGGTATTCATCTCGGCTTCTTAGAGCAACTACCACCCATTACCATAAACGTGGTCGCTTAAGACAACCAGAATGTATTCTCTTGCAGTTCTGGGGACTATAAATCTGAATCAAGGAAGCGGCAGGTCTGGGCTCTCTCTGCAGGTGGTAGGGGGGTCCTGCCTCGCCCCTCTTAGCTCCTGCAGCCCTGGGCTTGCGGCTGCTGAACCCCAATCTCCACCTCCATCTGTGTATCCAGATTTCTCCTTCCTGCCCCTGTCGGATTTAGGGCCCACCCTCAATCCAGGGTGATTTCCATCTCGAGATCCTTAACTCCTTCCCTCTGCAGAGGCCCTCTTTCCGAATAAGATCAGTTTCTGAGGCTCAGAGTAGGTATGAATTTGGGGAGGTGGCGCTCTTCAACCCATAATGGTTCTCTTTCAAATCTTTTTTTTTTTTTTTTTAACAGTGTCTTTATCCAATGTGTTAATCTACTAAGTATATTCGTTTGCTGTCTCTTTCAGGTTGGTGTCTGTTCGTTGGTTTTCTTGCGCCCCAGTCCCTTGACCATCACTCACGGTGAATCGTATCTTACCAACATTTAACATTCTTTAAACCCCATTTTGACAGGACTCCTTTCTCTTGTGAGAATCCTTGGCTGCCTGGGTTTGGGGAGTATTCATCCAGAATAACTGCATCTGCTCCCTGCTGCAGAAGGCCCTCCAGGCCAATCGACTACTGGGCACTAGTCTTGATCATTTCTTAGGCTGGGAGCGACTGCCACTCAGAGATCACGTATCTTCGGGCCTCAATCCACAAGAAGAGCAGACTCTTCTAAAGCGGTCCTGGCTTTATGGAAGTGTCTTGGCTCCAACTCCTTCCCTTGTGCCAGCCCAAAGCCTCATTTCCTGACCCTAGTGGATATAAAGATTGGCCTCCAGAGTGCCATGCTCTATTCTCTCTTCCACTCCCCCACACCACCACCCCCCAACCCCACCCAAGCAAGCAGAAACCTCAACTTTGCCACTTAAGATCCATGAAATCCTGGAGCAAAGGATTTAATCCTAAAACTCCTCCCCCTCTTCTTTGCCTTGTTAACTCTAACTTTCCCTTTAAGACTTAGCTTCCAATCACCTCCTCCAGGGAGCCTTCCTAGATTTCACCAGCTCCATCTGCCCGTTGTTCCCAGACTGACACTTCTGAGCCTTTGCCCTACTGTGAAGCAACATGGGGTGGGCAGCACACTGCAAGCTCCTGGGTCCTACAGGTCGGTGTCAAGGTGAGACAGAGGGTGGCGGAAGGGAGGTGTGGCAGGAACGCAGATGGGTGTGACGGGCCTGAGCCCCAGCGAAGAAGTCGGATTTTAGCGGTCAGTGATGAGAGCTCCAAGGAGGCTCAATCAGATGCCCACTTTGGAAGTGTCACCGCGGTGGCTAGGAATAAGAATGAAGGCTGGCCAAGAAGCTGGGTGGCCAATTTGGAGGCACCCAAATTCCCCAGCCCAGATGAGTGACGATGGCCCTTGAGCAAAGGCTGTTCAGGGGCGGACGGTGGGCACAGATTTATGAAATATTTAGGGAGCAAACATTCAACAAGTCTTCATGATGTGGAGGGGCCGAGAATGCCAGACGTCTGATGCTCCCCCCTCTCTCTCTCCTGCTCCCTTACCCACCTCGGACCCCCTCCTGGGCGCTCCCCCCTCTCCGCCCCCCCTCCCCTGGGCACTGATACACCAGGCGCTTTGGGTAGGAAGTCTAAAAGGGTTTCAGAGGGGCAGAGTGGGCTCCTGCCTTCCACAGTCTCCACGAGGAGCCTCCCCAATAAATGTATTCGTCCTTCCCCTACCTTCTCCTGGACACTTGGCTTGTGTGTTTCAGGATGGTTTGAATTTTTTCAAAAAAATTAAAATTCTCGGCCGGGCGAGCCAATTCCAGTGAATGACCACACAGTAAAACGTGACAAGGGCCCCATTCACAGGCCCCGACTGCGCGGAGCTGGTCAGGCGGCTGGAGGCAGCTCTTGATGAATCAACTTATGTTAGAAGGTCAGTGACTCAAAACCCCTGGGAGTCGGGCTGAATGGTGACCCGAGCATTTGTGATGTGCATGGAAGTCAGCCTTCGTTGTCTTGGATGACAAGACCCCCATGATTTCTGATTGATTGACTGATTTTTTTTTAGTAATACAATCATGTTTTTCTTTGTAATTTGGGTCCACATAAAAACTTATTTTTACATTATTATAATCGTAATACCTGATTTTGTCTTTTTAAATTGTTTATAATCATTTTTCCACATTACCATGGTAGTGTTCATAATTACCTTTTTATTTTATGTTTTTAAAATCACGTTACTGAGGTATAACTGACATGTAAAAAGCTGTAAATGTTTAACGTATATGATAAACGGGACAAATATACACCATGAAACCATCACCACCATGAAGGCCATGTACATATATACCACCTCCAAAAGTTTCCTCCCACCCTTTTTATTATAATTATTATTATTGTGCGTGCGTGTGTGGGTGTGGGTGTGGCAAGAATACTCTTCCGACGCCATGACTGCTGATTTCAAGTTGTTCATTCAACCAAAATCTGTGGGGTCCATGCTGTGCCAGGGACTGTTCAAGGCCCAGAAACCCAGTGGTAAATGCCAGACCCTTGCTCTCACAGAGCCCCCCTTGAGTGGGGGAGTCAGACAACAAACCCATAAACTTGTTAAATACTTTAATGAGATAACTTTGAGCAGTGATGAGCACAAGGAAGAAGACAAAACAGGGTCACAGGACGGAGCATGAAGAAGGGCAGATGCTACTTTTAGAAGATCCCTCTACACAAGTGATGTCTTTTGAGAACAGGAGGACAAGAAAGAGGTGATCATGTCCCAGAAGGAAGAGCTGTGCCAAGGCCTTGAGGTGGGAACAAGGTGGCTATCACGAGATTGTGTGCATCAGAGTTGTAGGATCTGGAGGGTTAAGAGTGTCCAAAGATCAGCAAGCACTTGAGATGGAAGGTCACAGAAAATGAGCGAGCCAACGTGTGAGCTGGATGGCTCACCAGCGAAGGTGGTGAACATACAACCACCCTATGAGCCAACAATTCTACTCCTCAGTATTCTCTCATCAGAAGCGAAAGTATACTCTGCAAGATGTATGCAAGAATGTCCACAGCAGCTTTTTCATAATGATCAAAAGCTGGCAACAGCCAATACATTAATCACCAGGAAACCAGCTCAACAAAGGGTGATGTATTCAGACACAGAATGTTAACAATACAAGGAAATGAAGCACATACACACACAACCTAGATGCATCTCAAAAACCTATGCTGGGTGGAAGAAGCCAGACACAAAAGAATATATACTGTAGGATTCCAGAATAAGATAGACTAATCTAAGGTGGGAAAAAAATCAAGACAGTGGTTGCCTCTTGGGGTGGGGGGGCGTCGATCAACTCAGAAAGGGTATAAGGAAACTTTCGGGGGTGATGATATCACTGCAAATTTTCGTAGGTTTGCAACACGCAGGTTTTCACCTTTCCCAAAACTCACTGCTTGGAACTCTCAAGACTTGTACATATTGCTGTATAGAAATTTTACCTCAAAGAATAGAGAAGAACCATAAACAAATTTTGAACTCTGGAATGCTAGAATATTTAGGACTGGAGTGAAGTGCACTGATGTTTCAACTACATAAGAAAAAAGATACGTGATGGAGGGATTATGTAGGCTAATTGAAGAATCGAGGCAGTGGGTGGATGGGTGTTCCAGTACCATTCTTCCAAATTAGAAAAATTTCACGCCCCGTGTTAACCCCCAATACACACATTTTGAACAAAAATCTTATCTATTTAGGTTGGATCAATGACAATGCGAGTCACAGAAGACAAAGCACCTCTAACCTGTTTCTGTGTTTTGTTTTACAAGGTCCATTGTATATAAACCAGTCTCACAGAAGTAATAGGGATGGACAGAGATTTTTAAAAAGTTTCATCAAGCTCAGGATATTTATTTTTTTAACTTTTATCCAAAGCAAGATAAACGGTGAAGCTTTAAAACATTCATTTTCAGGGCTTCTTCGGTAGCCAGTTTCAATAATTATCCTGAAAAATTATAGTTAAATAATCTTTCAATGAAAAAATGGATCTGGACCCATGAATTTTTTTATGCATGGATTTTTTTGGATGGAAAATAAATTCCAGTCAAATGCAAAATTCCATTCCATTCCAATTTATTCAAAATTCAAAGTGTTTCATCGTTCTGTCAACTGATAAATTTTACAAATATGTAGAATCGAGATATGCATATACTACCTTGTTGTTAAGTGTTTTAAATTATGGAACACATTTTTTAAAGGTTTTATTTTTAAGTCATTTCTATACCCAGCGTGAGGCTCACACAACCCCAAGATCAAGAGTTGCATACTCTACTGACTGAGCCAGCCAGGTGCCCCAAATTATGGAACACATTATAACAATCTGCTGAAATTCTATTTTTTCCAAATTTCTATTTTTTTGTTTTTGTCCTTTGATCTTATCTGATATTAGAAAGCATGGTGATATGGAAACCATATTGTGTCCACTGACAGTTGAATGGATAAAGAAATTTATACACACACATACACATACACACACACAGAGATATCATTCAGCCCCCCAAAAGAAGGAGACCCTGTCATTTACAACCACATGGATGAACTTGGGGGACATTATGCTGCATGAAATAAGCCAGACACAGAAAGTAAAAAACCCTGCATGATCTCACTTACATGTGAAATCTCACAAAATCATAGAAGCAGGGAGTAGAATGAACGGTGCTTACCACGGGGCAGGTGATGGGAGATGTTGGTCAAAGGGTACAACACTGCAGTTATGTAGGATGATTAAGTCCAGAGGTCTAATGTACCGCATGGTGATTATAGTTAAGACTGAATTGAATCTTGGAAATTTATTAAGAGAGTAGATTTCAGGTGCTCTCAGCACACACACACACAAAGGTAACTGGGAAGGGATGATACGCTAAGTAGCTTGATCATAGCAATCATGTCACCGTGTATCTGTATAGCAAATGATCACGTTTACCACTTATATATATGCGATTTTTATTTTTAAAGAGAGCAGCTGGAAACATGAGTCAGTGCCCAGTTACAGGGGATCTTAACTGTCCCATGGAGAAGCTTGGATTTTTCACCTTTTCTGGGATTTTTGAGAAGGGTAATGACATGATTTAAAAAATAAAGTTTCTGGAAGATTCATCTGACATGTGTGCACAGGATGGCTAATTTAGTAAAAATGATATAACATGAAAAAAAATTTTAATCAAAAGCATGGCACAATCCTTTCCTGGCAGGGAAGTATTCAGGTCATCAAAAATAACTGAGGATATGGGATAAATACGCAAATCTGGTTGTCCAACTGACATATTTTAAAAAGTTGGGACAAACTTATGTTGCGGAAATTCCAGGAGTTTGTTCCATAGCTTGAATAGTTCCACAGGACCTTCCCCTTCATGACCATTTTACTTCATAGAGAATAATAGCTGTTCGCAGGTAGCTCCCGTCCTATCCCATGGTAAAGACAATCATTTTCAGCTTAGCATGTTAGCTTTCTGTAGTTCACACTTTTTCTCTCTTCACTAAGCCTACTGTTTAGTTTTGCTACTTTTTTTTTTTTTGGCAAGACATTCTCGATAAAGGGAAGCAGTGCATGGATTCACATTCTGGCCCAATCTCCTTAATTTGGGGAATTACTTTTCCTATCATAGCAGCTTTGCCAGCAAACACACTCCTACGCAAAGCTAAACTCCAAGCCACATTTGCTGACTCTGATCATTCTCTTGAATCTTTCGACAATGTCAAGTTGCTATAAAAGTTTCAAATGCCTACTCTCACTCTCTGTACTAACCTCGCTGTGGACCCGTATTAGCACGAATCCACAAAACCCACTTTGACCGACCCCGTACGGAGCCCTCTCTGCGAAATGATGGGTGATCCAGGATGGGGTGTAAAGTAGAGAAAACTGTAAGGTCCCACAGCCCAGGGATGCTCTGATTCTGTAGTCCAGGAAGGAGACAGTCTGGGCAAACTAAATGCTCAGCCAGGCTACCAAACGTTTCTGAACACGCTTCTCCTAATACTAAGGGAGGTCATTGATCCAGATGGCCAACCCAGAGAGAATCTTAAACCCATGCTCCGCGACTTACTCTGTTTGGTTCAGCAACACTGGGAAACCCTGCTCCTTTGGGAGTTATGAGAAGGCCCCTTGGAAGCTCCTAACCTTTTGTTGTTCTCAAAATGTCTTCGAGAATATGACTATGGCCCCTCATTCCAGAAATATGCATGCACATACCCCAAAATATTGTATTCAGTTGCAGGGCCTTTATAGACCTCCTATAATCCACCCCAGGACATTCAAGGGATCCTAGGAAGCTTGCCTTGGAGGAGTAAGTCAGCCGGTCCCTGTACGACCTTCCCCTCAGGTGTGGGTATACCGAGTCTTGGGCTCATACTCAGGGCTCCCCCTTGTGGTGCCCCCCAAGTGCCAGAGGTTTCCAAGTAGGCAAGAGAGTCCTCGTGAGGCATGGCAAGGAGTCGGGATCCTCCCAATGATGTCTCCCATTTATCATCATGGTCCTGCCTTCCTGATATGACTCGGGGAGTTTGGGGAACCCCATTGTATAACCCTCCAGAAGGTAACTATTGAAACCTTTGGGGAAGGTGGGTTGCTGTTTTATTCTTCAATATTTGGATCAAAACACTTCCCAGAGAGTTAACTGTGGTCTGTTGTGTGGATCCTGAGGAAATGAGGGGTTCCCTTCTGACCTGGGGCTCCACTGGGGGCCACTTGCCACAATAGGCCGTGAAAGCAAAGGGCAGGGAGAACTGGGCAATGTTGGGGAAGGGGGAGAGAGAGAGAGAGAGAGAGAGACGGGGCGGGGAGAGAGAGAGGGAGATCAAGATGCAGAGTCTGGCAGGGATAGGCCATTCTCAGCCTTTGTACTACACTAACCTCGACTTAGTGGGAAGTCATGGTTGAGTTGTAATCAGGACAGCAACATTCACTTACACAGAAGCCTCTGGGATTGTTCCCCAGTATAAGAAAATGGCAGCTATCCAAGGAGGGCTGTTCTAAAAAGTGAGAGAGGGATCCTAAGCTCAAACACTAAACACTCGTCTATTGCAACCGGGTCATGTATCTAGCTGTTGTCAGTAGGGACGACCTGAGAAACAAGAGTGACCCATTTCAACTCTTACAATGACATCTCTTAGTGGAGATGAGGATGTTCTGAGGGAGATTTAGCCTGTGTGTGTGTGTGTGTGTGTGTGTGTTTCTGTTCTGGTGATAGAGGACGTTACCTTGGCCACCCCTGGGAGATCATCTAAGAAGCAATGTATAGAGTGCGCATGTAGGGTCCCCCGAAAACAGGTTACTCAGGGGTACGACAGTGGCTCAAGAGCCCTACTCTCCTGGAAGAGTGGTGTTTCAAAGGTCAGAAAGGAAAGGTGGCTGAGCCCCAATGTGGGAGTCCCCAGGGAAGGGAAGAGTCCATTCCCGAGCTCCCGGGCAGCCCACCCCGAGAAGGCCTGCTTGAATCCACTCAGCCCAAATGGATTTCATGAACCCTGGCTAATGTGTCGCAACCTTCAGCGTTTGAGGATACAGGCTGGGTCCTGCCCCCATCCTTTTTGGCAGGATTGAATGACTTGCTCAAAAGGACACAGCCACTTAATGGCAGACTTGGGATGAGAACCCGGGCCTCCAGCCTCCAGCATCCAGCCCCACTGCTCCTCCTGCTTTTGCACCGCTCGGAGCTCCAGAAACGACCCTCTTCTCTCCCGGGGAGCTGATGTCCTGCATAGGTAGGGAAGAGGCGCCTGAACGAATCATGACTAAAAAAACAATCCCATCACAACCACACACGCAAAGACAAAGCGCGCTCGGCCCCTCTGCAGACACAATGGCTAGAGTAGATGCTCAGGGATCCTGCCAGCCCCAGGCCTCCGGCTCAACCCAGGACAGCTGGATGCAAGATGAGGGTGCCCCCAAGGAATAAGGACATTTGTGGCATCCTTCTATGCATTGAGATCTGCTTGGGTAATAAGATAGCTCAAGCATTTGCAAGGTAGAGAATTCACACCTGAGAGGAGGCCCCGCAGGTCTGATAGGCTAGAAGCCCATGGACATGTCCTTCCTTGGTGAAATGTCCCATCTTAACCATCTCACAAAGTTTCGCCCCTTTGCCTCGCCGCCAAGGACCCCCAGAATGCCACATGCCCTTGGGATATCCCTCACAGGGCATGACAGAGCCAGCCTGGCCTCCAGGACAAAGTGTGGTATTAAGGACTCATGCCAGGCCATTACTCAAACAAACTACCAATCTGAGGGCCGGAATAACAGCAATTATTTAAGTATTCTTGGAAACCCTGAAATTTTCTTTCTTTTAGTCTGTACTAAGTTTTTCCTCTGGGCTTCAGAACAGACTTGCAATTGTCAGCACAACAGCTCACTCTCCCTCCTTCCACCCTCCCTTCTCCCCAAACACCACACACACACACACACACACACACACACACACACACACACTCATGGATGAGAAACCCATGCAGACAGGGTCTTCTGTGGGTTTACAGACAGCCTGTGATTCCTGGTCAATGTAATAGAACCTAGTTTCTCGGCAAGACTCAGCAGGTGGATGCGCCCCGGTGGGCGAAGGGGATGATGGTGTTGGGGATGTGGCTGGTAAAAAGGTCCCTCTTCCAACAGCTCAAACCCCCGGAGAAGGGGCCCAGCAAATTAAGCTACATACAGTTCCTTTGCCCCCAGTGGATCCAACCAGGGAGCCCCTTGATCTCTGCAGCCAGTAGGCGGCGCCCTTGTGTCCGTCACCCAGTGTGGTGGAGCCAGAAGCTCCCACCTCTACCTGAGCCTTGTCACTGGAGCGCCTCTCCCAGAGTGGCCCCTGACGACCTGCGGCTACCCCCTAGAGCCAGCTGCTCCAGAAACAGCACCCCGCGTCTCCCTCCATCGCTAGCCGCACAAGCGAGGGCCCTGCTGGCCGCGGTCGTCCTGTTGTCGCCGTCGCCCGGACTCTACCTGGGGTCCCCAGTGACATCACTTCCTCAACCCTCAACGCACCCATTTTCCAGTAGTTGTGCCCAGAGCACCAGAGCTAACTGAAACAAGACGGGGACTTACATGTTAAAGTAGCCTTCGGTTGGGAGGTGAGGGCTGCTTCTGGAAAATGTTAACGCTTTCCTGTTGGACGCCAAGCCCGCTTGGAACTAAGCTTCAAACGAAACCTCATCTGTAAAATGAGGGGGTTGGACGATCCCAGAGAGCCATTCTGACTCTGACAGTTTATGCTACTATGAAAAGTAAACCCAAGAGAGCCCCGGGTCGGGGACCCAAGGGCTACTCCTTGTTGGCGTGGTGTTGTCACAAATAACGCGGTTGTGAATCAGTTTTTATTTTCGGCCCTGCAGCTGATAGATTAATTTCTCTTTTATGGGCCACACTCTGCATAATTCCAAGGAAATCATCACCAACCACCAGGTAGGAGGACCCCGATGTACAAACCTCAGGCTGAGTGGCCGTTGGAAGGCTTGGCTCCAGGTGAAAAGACGCTGTCATGGTTGCCCCCCTCCCTGTGGAGTTGCCATGGAGACCACCCTTCTCCCTCTCCATCCACAGTCAGGAGGTCTGTGGGTAGGTCCCACCTACCCGTTCCCCAGATGTGAATTTCATGAGTCCAGTCCCGGGTCAGGCAAATCCATCATCCTTGAAGAGATCTCAGAGATGGACAGACAGAAGCTCTGTCTTCTGGACAGCTGGGCAAATTTAATTTTGCCATGTAATTTTGGCTTGGAGGTTTATTGTTTATTTGTTTAATTATTTAATGATTTTTTATGGCATTCCTCCATTTGGGTACAGTCTTCCTGAGACCTCCTAAGCTCTTTATTTGGAAAAGAAAAAGATCTCTTTATCTTTTTTTTTTTTAAAGACAGAGAGGAGAGAGGTTTATAGTCATTTCAGTTGGAAGGCCAAAACCGCCGAATAGAGAAATGTATTTAGAGGACACCAGCCAGGAATGAGATGAACTGCAGCTAAGACCAGAGGACGGTTTCTAAATTGACAAAGCAAGGAGCTTTCTCTTTACCCCATTGCGAAATTCTCTAGGCTCCTGGAATCTCCACACTGAAAGGGACCTCAGAAGTCACCTCGTGCAACCACCCAGCCGATGACAATCTCCGGTCCTTCATTCTTGGCAACTGTCACCCATTCTCTACTTCGCTGGGTGGCCAGTTCTATGTTCTTATACCTCAGAGGGGAAAAATCTTCTGGAGCTCTGAAGTGGAGTTGAAATTGGCCTCCCTATAACCCGACGTCTGCCAGGGGCAGGTCTGTTCTCAGGAGGTCCATGCCGGGATGAACTACTCTAGTCCAAGCCGGCTTGGACAACACCCTTTGTAACAACCCTTCCAATATTCTCAGCAGCTCTCACGTCTCCATCTCTTCTGGCCTTATTCTCCCAGTTCTTTTCATCACTCCTCACTTCACGGTCCTTTCCAGACTCTTCACCCTCCTGGCCACTTGCCTCCGGACGCTTTCCAAGTCATCAGCGTCTCTTTTCCACTGTGGCTGGGGCCTGGCCGTGATGCTTCCTGATGCTGTGTTGATGAGCTGATGGATGTCGGGACAAGCCCGAACTTGAAACTGCAAAGCCACATGCCGATATCACACCAAAAACTGGCCACAGGACATATCCCGCCCTGTCTTCAGGATAATCCTTGATCAGCTGGCAACATGATGGCGTGTTGTCCACCATGAGAACCACATCCTTAAATGGGTTTCTAAGGGATCAAAGTGTAGCTGGAAGTGATTTACTTTTTCATTCAATGAATGCTTAGCGTTTATCTGCTAAGATCTTGTTACTGGTCATAGGAAGTCAGGCTTTGGAGCTATGACAATAAATGCCATGGTCTCTATCTTCAAGGAGGTTAAATAATCTACAAAAGCCCAATTGGACTAGATGGGCCAACTCTAAGCAACTCTGGAAGAACACTGCTTATGACAAATATATATATATATACATATATATACATATATATATATGTAGTCATAAATGACTGGAGATGGAAGGAACCGCAGGAAGTTTGAATTCATATCCCCTGGTTTATAGATGGGCAAACTGAGCTCCAGAACTTGTTCATCCACCTAGTCATCCATCCACCCATCCCCTCAACAAATGTATTCGTTGAACAGCCACCCTATGCAAAGTAATATATTTGTCCAATGCGAACAGCAATAGCACATAAGGAGTGGTAAGTAACTTCGTTGGTGCATGGATAAAGAGCTCCAGTTGAATGATCTGGCCAAGGAAATCCACTTGGTTGGCATCAGAGGCAGGATGAGAAACCAGATCTTCTGACATTGGGCACTGGGCTTTTCCCAACGCACCATGATACCACTCATAAATGACGAGATGGTAGACAATACAGCATATGCTCTATTTTGGGGAACTCTGTCCCGATGGACTCCTATTTGGACATTGCAGGCCTTATGTCTGTAACAGGTGAACGTGCTGGCTGTACCGAAATAATGTTTCACCTCTGCAAAGCCAGAGGCATTCCTGTCTTCCAGGAGCACAGACAATCCCTACTTAGCCTTTGCCAACAGTCTACCAGAATTCTCTCCCAGGATCCACCAAAGAGAAAATCCAACTTGCTTTCCCACTCTTTGAGCCCCAGGAGATTGGATGTTCCTGGTTTTTCTAAAACGTCCTCCTCCCTTGGTTCCCAGGGTGCATCTCTCTCCACCGCTCCCTTGAGTACTATTTCCCCAACCCTGACCAGCAT